GATATTTTGTGTGTGTGGTATTATCAATTTGGATGTTGTGCTTTGTATTCATTTATTGTGATTACATGTTTGTATAAAAGGAATGTTTTACATTTTTTCACAATTTATGGTAAAAAAATGCAACTAAAGATGCTGATAACATGATGGTTAACTAATGGTCACCATCCTGATTACCAAAACCGAAAACCAACTGAAAATTGAAGTTTGATTAACCGAACCGAATAGTACTTTCTATGGTTCAATTTCGGTTCCCAGTTTTTAAACACCGACATGCCGAACCGACCAAAATCGGCGGTTTTTAACCACCAAACACCCCTTAACAGGAATAAATAAGAAGAAAACCACTACACTAATAGGAGTATATAAAGGGAGGGAACACTTTTTTTTTTTTTTTTTTTTTTTTTTGAGGAAGGAGGCAACAGATTTATTAGAGGAAAAAGTGTTAAAAGTGTGAAAATAGTTAATTCCTCGTTTTAGGGAATCAGTTATTGCATTTTTTTAAAAAAAAAAAATTGAGTATTCAGATATTGCATATACAATTGATAACTGCACACGTGGAGTAAATTGTACTTCCGGAATAACATAATCGTTATAATCTGAAAATAGACATCCAAGTAATATTGTTAAATTGTGGATATATAGTAAAAAGGGAGTCCAAAACTATTCAATGTTGTGTAAATACTTCAATGCTCTTTAATATTTCAATATTTAAGAGAGAAAGAGGGAAATAGGCCAAGACTTGAGATAAATTAAAATTAATAGGCCAATAGTTTACATAAGTTAATAAATAGGCTAAATTACTGTTTTCGTCCATAACTTGTCTGGTTATGAATCATAACTTTACAAGTTATAGTCCATAATTGTTCATAACTTGTCTGGCTATGAACCATAACTTGACAAGTTTGTCCATAACTTATCTGGTTATGAACAATAACTTGACAAGTTATGACCTATTAATTTCTATAACTAAAAATTGACATATATACTTTCTTAAGCTTTTCATATTAACCTATTTTCTACTATTTCCTAATATTTAAAACGTTAATTGTTCATCGTGACTATATTTTAAGTGAACACAAGCCCATTATTCCTTGAACAAGGAAGTCCAGGGCCTAGTATATTAGGCCTAAATGATTATGGGCCATTTTCTCATGTGACATGACCATAGAACAGGAGGCATATATAATTCGTCATTTTCCACACATATCCAAAGGACACAAACTCCCAATACAGTGTAGAATTGAGGATTCCCATCATAAATTTGCATATTTTAACTTAATCTCCCAACAGACAAATAAAATAAAAAATAAAAAGGGTAGTCCACGATTACCATTGAAGGCCCAAAAGACCGAAAGCAGGTGAAGCAGTGAGGGGGAAGTGACAGAGTTCCCAATTTGGCGTAACTTGAAAAGGTTGGCATGCCTTTGCCTTACCCTTTTTTGCGTTTCCGCTCAGTAACAAGTCACATCATTTTGAGAGCATCAATATCACCCAAAAAAAAAAAAAAAAAAAAGGTCTGAACCCTTTTCTTTTCTGATCTCACTCTTTGGTTTGGTATTTTCCATTTTCCATAATTGTAAAATAATTTTCTGTTCCCACCATTTTGACATGCCCAATTATCAGTAGTAATATTTTCATCAAGCGTCATCACTATATGTATCTAGCTAGCTGCGTAATGTCTCTAGCTAGGCCCTTGGGAAAAACCAAGCTTGAGTTTAAGATTCATGAAAGAGGAAAAAGCGAATTAGAAAATGAAAAAAGAAGGAAAGCTCTAGTACTTTCATGATCAGAATTAGCAGCTTAGAGAGAGAAAGTCAGAGAGAGAGAGAGAGAGTTTGATGATAAAGACTGTAAATCTGTAATGTCATGGCCTTGTTTTGGTTCCCTCTGGTGGGAAGCTTCTTCACTCTTTCCTAAGTACTTGCAGTTTCTGTCTAGCGAGTGTTGTGTAATATATGTAATAAGTAATATATTATACGACGGATCTTCTGTGGTTATATATATACATATACATACATATATGCGTGTATATATATTCATTATGGATATTCATAGCATGCATGCCAAAAAAAAAAAAAAAAAAAGGGTTGAAAACAAAATGGGGTCATGATCATCATGATGATCATCTACAACTTTTTTACTCTCTTACAATTATTTCTAGTTCTATTCTCAAAAGCAAAGTTTCTATATATTCAATGCTAGTGGTCCTAAAGATTGCGTTTTTTTGTGGAGAAAGATCTATGAGAAACTTCCTGCGGGAGAGAAAACTTAAAACCAAAAGGTGTTTGTGTTGGATCTTGAAAGGAACAAGTGAGTTCTGTGCACCGTTGGAATATTGATTGAGACTTCTTTTTTTTTTTTTAGTCCAATTTATGTAATTTGGTTGACTTAACTAATTTTGGCGTGCTAGATCTTCTATAGATTCTGGAATTAAGGTAATATGGGTAATTTACAAAACGCAAGATTGGTATTTTTTATTTGTCTGCATTGATCAGCCAGAAGTAGTAAAGTTAATGTCCTAGAATGAGTTAATTACAGGAAAAGGGAAAAATGTTTTTGAAGGCTTTACTTCAGATGGGTAACAAAGATACAAACATTTAACTAAGGTAATGTAGAAGATTAAGTGAATTAAACCCCTCACCAATTTTTATTCTGAAGACCTTTGAGGATTATCTATAAACTTTCCTAACCAATTGGAAATGCAAGGAAAACAAAACTATGCCACATCCATTTCTACATTTGAGGTTTTTAAATTATATGTGTCTGTAAGTTGAGTTTCCTTATAATATTCTGAGTGGAAAATATGCCTAGAGAAAAATAATTCCAAGGAAAAATAAATAAATCTAAAGAAGGATGGAGAGACATTATTCCATAGACTATGTGTACTACATCATCATGCTTATACAGTACACTGCTCTAATAAATACTTAACATTTGGATCATTTTTCAATATTAACATTCCCTATACTATTCATTTTTCTCTCGCATTATATTCTTTAATTGTTCAACAACTTTTATTTTTATGCTTAGAAATATAATAACTTATTTTATTTGACAAAATTAAAAAGGTAATAACATATTCACAAACATATAAAAAAACGTATCATGGCTCTTTTTCCTACAATATCATGAAGAACAAGTATAATAATATATATATATATATGTGTGTGTGTGTGTGTGTGTCAACCTATGTATATGTGTATTCTAATCAACTTAATTTTTTTTTAAATATCATATATGAAAAGTTTAATCAAACCTTTGAAATATTTTTATTAGAATCGTAAAATATCTTAGCTAATTATAATAATATAAAACTTCATGCGCATCGTCTTCTTAGATTTCGTTTCTTACTTAACATCTCCTACCTCTCATAACTTTTTGATTTGGTTGATTGCTTTCAAATAGAGTAAATTGTTGATTTCGTTGGTGTTTTTTTTTTTTTTTTTTTTTTTTTTTCCTTTCTAAGTTTCCTAAATGGATTTAAATGTAGAAAATAATTTTTCTAAACACTGAAAATAGTATTATTTGAAATTAAAATTAAGGTAGATGATCTTTGCAAAATAAAAATAAAAATTAAGGTAGATGATTTAGGTCTTTCTGGTAATTGTGACAACACGAATAAAGTAAATATTATTAGGAAAGAGAAAGAAGATTAAACAAATTTGACATTAAAAAAATCCAAATATAAAGTATTTACTGGAAGGATGTATCACATAAACATGGTGGTACAAACACCCAATTTCTTAATAATTTCCATGAGATGAATAGGGTTTTTTTTTAAGGGGATATAATAGGGGTTTTCATTAACCCACCTCTTTTCCACAAGAAAAACGTCCCTTGTAACTAAGTACTTTTAGAGATACAAAAGTCATATATACAACTGGCGATATATATAAATATATGTACGCACGCATATATATATATATATGTGTGTGTGTTTAACCACTATATAAATATATGTACATGTGTTTATACTCCTGCTATACTAATTAGTTAGGTCATGAGTAAAACATAGAGAAAAAGATTCTAATGACAATTACAATTATTGTACAACGTTTTATTATTATTATTATTATTATTATTATTGTTTATGTTCCCTTGTTCCCTACTCTCAGAGAAGTGATATCACTTGAAACCAAAACGTGTGCTCTTTCTTCTACCAATTACATGACTAGCATTTGCATCGATTTACAAGCTAGATGACAAATTCCTTGATGCATGCATGTAGGCTGTGTACCAATCTGCTGATAGCTAGCTAGATAGCCATGTATTATTTCTCTCTCTCTCTCTCTCTCTCTAAATATATGAATATATAATATGTCAATATTGAAAGTACGTAGATATTTATTAAAATTAAAATACGAGTACTTCATCCAAAAATTAGATTTCTGAATTAGTTTCTAATCTATTTTCTATGTACAATTATCTACACCACAACCTCCCCATTCCGTCTCCTGGCAAAAAAAGAGCAAGAAAAGCATGTTCATTAATATTTCCTCAGAGGAGCAAACCCAGTCCGTAATGATTTTCTCGGGATCCAAGCCAATTAGCAAAAAAAGAGAAACTATACAAAAAAGCATTTAAAATGATTGGTAAGGTTGAGCATATATACAACACCCGAATTATACCATCTGCATGCATAAAGGAATTAATTGCAAAAAAGGAACACACACAAAAATTCATAGAGGTATAGCAAAGGAATGGCTACCAAATAATAGGAAATATATTGGGCACTATCCTTTTCCAATTAAAATCCCAGCAAGATAAGAAAAAGATCCCATTATTTTTCCTTAAAATGAACATGTCCCAAGTTCCAAGTCCCTATACATAAAATTAAAAATCCTCACAAAGTTAGCTCTTTTTCTTACAGTCTAAACCCCATAATATATTCATAAATAACCCCCCAATGGAGGCAATAATAATATTTGTCAAATTTTTTTTTTTTTAATCTCTAAAGAAAAAGTCAACATAACTTCTCCCCCCCCCCCCCCCCCCCCCCCCCACATGCTTACATCATGGCCTGCTGATTCAAACGACTGAACAAGTACTGTCGTCTGCTCCATCTTCATCATCATCATCATCATCATCATCATCATCATCAACATATCATCACTGATTTTGCCCTCCCTTGTTAATCTTGAGCCCATAATTCTCCCACAAATTCTCTGACCCTTCTCCAATCAAGAAAGCCGGAAAACAACTATGATCATGAGTAGTACTTCCCACATTCGCATTAGAAGGGGAAGGAGAAGAATTAGCAGTACCATCATTCATTTGATCACAATTATAACCTCCATGATTGTACAATGAAGTAGAGGACTCGTTATTATTATAACCTCTAGAATTGATCTCCTTCCTCTTCTTACTTGACATTTCTAATTTACTAGATTTCTTCACGTACTCATTATTGATACTCTCCCACTTCTCCCTACACATGAAACCGTTCCTATCATACCCCAAACAAGCCATCTTCGCCGCTATGTCCTCCCACAAAACCTCCTCCGAAAACCCGCCTTGCGAAAACCTCGAATCCATGCTCGTCCTCAACTGAATTAGCCTCGTTATCTCCGGTTCAAGCCAGTTACTTTGATGGTGAATATTGTTATTATTGTTTTCTATCTCAGTACTCCCGTGATCTTGATCATGGTCTTGGTTTAGACCCTGATCCGGCGACGAAGAAAGTACTATACCTTTGTAGTCAATTTCTTTTCCTGTTATGTTCTTCAAAGCATCCATTAAAGCCGAATCCCGAGCTTCGATCCAAGCCCTCTCTTTGGCCCAAAACTTGTGCTCTTTCTCTATTCTAGCAGCCTCTTGTTTCCTCCATTCTTCTTCTCTCAAGCTCCTCTCCTTCTCTTTCTGCTCAAGGGTTTTCACCAGCTTCTCCAACCAAGCCTCTTGCTTCTCCATCAGCTTCCGCATCTGCGCGTCGATGAACTCCTTTATCTTCGCCTTCCACCCCCTCGAACCGCCCCGCCTGTTCTTCCGCTTCTCCGACGAGTCGTTGTCGTCCGAGGAGGACGACTCGAACTCGGAGGAATTCGAGAGGCTAAGGCTATTGTGTGACTGGTTGTTGTTATTGTAGGCCAATTGATCTTGGTGATGAGTACTACTACTTGGATTAGTACTAGTTAAGAACTGAAGATTGTTAGACATGTATTGGGTTTGATGATCCGGGACCGAAACTTGGTTGCCGGTTTCTCCATAAAGAGCTTCAAGTTGACGAAAGAATCTATAGTGCTTACCATCTTGTCTACCGGCTTTTCCTTCCTTGGTTTTCTTGTAGTATTTGTACAAGTTTTCGAACTTTTCTCTGCACTTTTTCCCACTTCTTTGGTACCCATGTTCTTCGGACATAATCCTGTAACGTATGTATAGTTGAGAAGTGAAGAAGAAGTTTGAAAAGAAGAAAGAGAAAAAAGTGAAAAACCCTAGCTAAGTTGATGGGGGAGAAATAATTATCATCATATCATGAAAGGCTATAAATTAAGTTGCTAATTGTTGATGTGATTTAGTGATTAATATTTTACAATGTTGGACTGAGAAACAACTGTTGAACTGAAGTGTAAGTGTATGACAAAACTCAAATTTCTAAACGAAGACTTGGGGTCATCTTCTCTGTGACTGGAAGAGAGAGAGAGAGAGAGAGAGAGAGAGAGAGGCAAAGGCGTCTTTTACAGACATCTTTTCATTCAGATAAAAAAAAACCAGTTGATATGTAATAGTAGTACTATACTACAACTGAATAAGCTGAGCTGTGGCCAAAGGGAAAGGTCAACCATTCTTTCGGAGAAAAAAAGAAAAAAAAAAACTTGCACTTAAAAGAGGGGACACATTTTCAACACGGAGAAGAAAACCAGCGAGAGTCAGTGATATTTCATCGAAGCAAAAGAAAAGGAAAGCTCATCATCAGTCATCGATGTAATACCAAGAAAAAATCCAGATCTCAAAACAAAATTGATAACAAAGCATATGAATATCTTTCTCTTAAATCTTCAATACCCCAAGTGAGAAAAAATATTATGTAACAAAAGAATGTAAAAGAAAATGAAAAGTTTTTTTTTTTTTTTTTTTTGACATACCTAGAAACCTCATCCCAGAGAGGACCTTTTTGATTGGCCTCTTTGAACTTGGAATCAAGCCGTGATCTGATCTCCAAGAGAGTGAGAGTCTCCTGTCTCGGCCACCTACCGGTGCCGCCGTCTCCACCGAGACAGCCTCCGGTCTCGGCTTCCCAGCCGCCGCCGCCGCCGCCGCTGAGAGTAGAAGGGGCTGAGTTAGTTGTAGCTGTCACCGCGGTGATAGATGCCGTGGAGTTGCCAGCAGAGTTATTATCAGAGCGAAAGTCGTGAGGATGGTGATGATGATGAGGAGGAGGAGGATGAGGATGATGGTGGGGATGGGGGAAGCCACGTGGCATGATCTCGACGGCGGAGACGGGGCGGCCCATCATCATCATCTCAAAGGTGGGCTGCTGCGGCGGTGGGGCGGGGGAAAAGAGGTGCTCAGCTGCGGCGGGGGCTGTCGGAGGGATGTTGGAGGGGATTAAGTTGGAGCGGCCGTTCATGAGCTGCCGGAGATCGGCGATGGAGGCGTACTGATGGTGGTGGTGATGGTGATCCTCCATTTCCATGGATGATATTAATCGAATATGATTTCTTCTTCTTCTAGTCTTTACTACTATTCTTCTACTACTACTACTAGTAGTTCTGAGAATAAGCAAAAGCAGAGAAAATTAATGGGGTGAGCTTGAGTTAGGAAAGAGAGAGAGAGAGAGAAATGTTGTAGAGAGAGAAAGAGGGGGAGAGAGAGACTAGTGCGGCAGAGTCGGATCGTGTCGTCCACGAAAAAGCTCGAACTTATGCACAGGACATCGGTCCCATGTCGTGTCCAAGTGTGTGAAAAAAAAAATAAATAAGAAAAATGTGTACAACTAGAAACTAGGACCGACAATATAGGTCACGATATGATAACACGACTAAAAAATGACAAATTTTGTGAGTTATGGTTGAAAAAAGAGGTTCGGGTCAGAACTGGGTCGACCTGAAATTGACACGAAAAACACGGGTCAATTTCGGGTTAGACCTGCCTAACTTGAACGACACGAAACTCATAAAAAACTAAAAAATACATATATTTTTCATTGCATATTTTTTATTTTATTATGAACATGTGATATCATGATAGTTATATTCAAAATTTTATACTATTATTTACTTTATTTCAATGGATGTTATTGTATTTTAGTGTGTTATGAATTTTAAGTTATTTCTAATATGTAAAAAACTAAGTAAAAGTATAAAATTTTTGTGTCAATTTCGGATTTACGGGTCAATTTCGTGTCACGGGTCATTTTCGTATCGTGTCATGTCAACCCGTAAAGTTATCGTGTCGTGTTCATGTTGTGGTTTTTAAAAAATTTCGTGTCACGGGTGGTGTTCGGGTTGACTCTAAATTTAGAAAAAAAAATGATCAAAACACGACACGAATATGACACGTGACACAAATTACCACCCCTATTAGAAACTATGGAATGTCTAAAAAAAATTGCAAAAATAGGTGTTCATCATCAAAGTGATTATTATAAATGCAAGAGTAAGAGTTTTATTTTATTTATGTGGCATATTTTATGAAAATAATTTATAAGGCACAATTTTTTTTTTTTTTTTTTTAGTTTTAAACTATCAAATTGTGATTAAGTTCTGTTAAATTATCATACATTTTTTAAAATGGTATGATTTTAATGTGATCTGACTATTAAAAACTGTGACCTATTCCTTAAAAAAAAAATGTAACCTACCAATAAAATGTTTTTCAGACCTCAACACCAAATTCTGACTTTATAATTATTAGTTGTAGAAATTACAAAGTAGCATGAAACATTTTATGAAAAAGTTGTATATTAGATTAATTTTTAATTGATCATCGATTTCCAAATGACATACATGTTACAAAAGAATTCATACTAATATTTATTAACTAAGTTTTCGTTTATTCGTGTTCTTGAACATTACACTTATTCATAAAAATTCCAACCTCGCTATTTCTGACTTTAAATTAGTGTCACTTAATAATGCTCTTGGTTAAAGTTCCCATTATAAGATAAAGAGTATCAATAGAAAGAATTATAATAGGAATTTGAGCTTATATCTCCTTGAAAAAAAGAAGAATTTCAAAACACACACACACACATATGAAACTCGACCCTAAAGCTCCACAATCAACGCAAACTTATGGCACAATCTTAAAATTTGAGTTTTATCTTCATTAAATAGTGGCTAAGGGTTATTTATCGTGTGATTAAGTATTCTTATAATGTATGTTTGGCCTATTTGTTTTGCTACATATCATTTGTGTTTGTGACAAGGGTTATAACGAAAAGTGGTTAACTGAGACTAATTAAAATTTGAAATAATAAAGTTGGAATTTTTAAAAATCAGAGGATAAAACAAGAATGAATATAAAGTTCAAAGGCAAATGTTAAAATAATCCTGTTTTTTTGCATGACAATTTTTAACGGTTAAGAAACCATAATGAATATTTTTAAGATCAAGTCTCTCATCCACCAAATAAACATGTGTATAAATATGATAAATTAGTAGTTAAGATGAAAATCAATTCTGATGATCACGAAAATAGAATTTTTCAAGGGTGTATATATATGTAGTACGTAACGAATGTAATGTGAAACTCGCTTTATTTTAGTGTCGTTTTTGTTTTTTTAGTGGGTTTTGTTTAGTTTTGTGAGTACAAATACAATGGGTTTTGGGGTGGTTTTGGACAAACCACAAAAGGAAGAGATGGAGTGCAGAGAACAAACACGTACACAACAATTGAGGATTGAGAGAGAGAGAGAGAGAGAGAGAGAGAGAGAGAGAGAGAGAGAGAGAGAGAGAGAGAGAGAGAGAGAGAGAGAGAGAGAGAGAGAGAGAGAGAGAGAGAGAGAGAGAGAGAGAGAGAGAGTCAGTGTAATAGAGGGTAGCGAATTATTTTGTTACACGTGGCAAGAATTTAGACTTGGAGTGGAGTACAGAAGAGTTGTGCTCTTGCTGACGCGTGTACAGTCATTAGGATCCGACCTTTTTGACCACTCTCTCTCTCTCTCTCTCTCTCTCTCTCTCTCTCTCTCTGCGCTTAGACGCAGATCCACTCTGCTATTTCCCAGCGTACTACAGGTGACAACCAACCGCAGACGGCCACGTCATCTTATGAATTTCGTCCCTTTGGTGGGCTCGCCTAAAGTCTTTTAAGACTTAGGCCCAATGGTTTGAATGTATCCAAGAATATTAACTTTATTTATTTATTTATTTATTATTAAGAAGATGGGGATGATTTTCGTGGGAGAATAAATAGAGAGAGCATTTTAGTTTCAACGGGAAGATAAAAAAGAAGAAATTGATAATGATCCGATGAGAAAGAAAGTGAGATTAGACCTCATGTTGTACAACTTGTTTTAAATTCGGATTAATTAATCCTTTTCTCTTTAATTTGGTTCCCAGGTAATATTATTTTAATGGAATTTTTCTCTTGCTTAATGATTTTAGTTTGAAATTTAATTACGACATTCTGAATACAATATCATTATTATGTCAATAATAGATCGGATTACTTCTAAATAATTCGTCCTCTATCCTTGTTGACGCACCAAGGGTCACCTCTGAAGCGATTAAAATCAAAATCAAAGTTTAGATGTTTGCTTGAACAATAATCTTATCATTAAATTAAACAACTTTCTTATTGTTAGCCAGATACATTAATTTTCATGAAGTTATGTCTTTTGGCAATACATTTTGATCGTTGGCTTTTGATATAGGTTAAAGTCTCGTTCATTACACCGATTCAAATTTTCAGTTTTAGGTTTCTACAGTAAAAAGCTCTCAGAAAATGTCACATCTAACTTTTTCTGCTACAGTGAAAAGCTCTCAGAAAATGTCACACCTCAGCTCGAATTGAAAACTTGAATCCGCAAAGTGAACGAGGCCTAAGTCTATCTCATGGAACATAAAGAAATCGTGCACCTATATCATCTGGATGTGACATAACCGTAGTGTGTGTATATATATGTATTAGATTTTGTTTTACATAATTTTTAATTTCTATGTGATTTTAATTATATTTATTGTTCAAAAATATATACTGTAGAAAGCTCCAATTAATAAATTCAACCACATTTTTTCAACTTAAAAGAGATGAAATAACTAATATAGAGGTTACAAACATATAAATTTAATCAACGAATTTATCTGGCGGGCATCCTATAAATTATCAAATATGCTAGTGTTCCCGAGAAAAAGGAATGAGAAGTGTTGTATTCTCAGCGTAGAAAATATCAAAACCTAGCTAACTAGTTAACAACTTAAAATGCAAGAATTAGACCATTTGACAACAAACCTATAGCTATGTATAAAACAACTTTACTTTAGATTGATAATTTGTTACTTAGAATTATAAGTTTGACTATTTTGCTCACATTCCCATTATGCCAATATAAATAACGTAGATGACAAGGAAGACCATACACACATGGCACAATTTGAATTTCCCCTTATATAGGTCCACCCCCTATCCCTTACTAATACTAGGTTGTTTGACAAAATTTATCTTCTTGAGATTTCCCTGTACTAACGTTATAATTTAATAATGTGCTTTAAAAAAAAAAAAAAAAGTAGATCATGTGCGTAAATAGCACTTATTACTTCTTGTTGGAAATCAATACAAGGACAACCTATATATACTCGCTTTGACACTCAATATTTCATGTTAAAATGATCGTAGGACTTAGTGTATGTTCTTAATTCAGTGGAACATTAATAATTGGCTATTAAATTGCCCAAAATACATGACCTTGTATTTTTTATTAGAACAAAGATTTTTTTTGTGTAGGGTGTAAGAAAATACTTTTATTGGTATTGTATACAAACTGTCAGATTTTTCCAAATTTTGTTATTATTTGATTAAAACAAACCCTAGCGCCTCTGACCCAGCCCGCTTAAAGACTAAGATCGGGCTGGGCTTTAGTTTAATTATTTTTTGGAAAATAGTAGAAAATATGCCAATATGAAGAGCTTAAGAAAGTATATATGCCAATTTTTAGTTATAAAAATTAATAGGCCATAACTTATCAAGTTATGGTTCATAACCAGATAAGTTATGGAGAAACTTGTCAAGTTATGGTTCATGGATAAAAACCGTGAATTATGGACAATAACTTGTCAAGTTATGGTTCATAACCAGACAAGTTATGGACGAAAACTGTAATTTATCCTATTTATTAACTTATGTAAACTATTAGTCTATTAATTTTAATTCATCTCAAATCTTGGCCTATTTCCTTTTTTTTTTTTTTTAAATTTGGCTCATAAAGGTTCGGGCTGTTCCAACCCGATATTGGCTTGTCGGGTTTTCGGATTGCACTGGGCCGACCTTTTTCTTTTTAAGGACTGGCCAGCTTTAAATTGCTTTTGGGCAGCTGGGCTGGCCCGAGTAACCCGAACTTGCACGTCTAATGGAGAGAGAGTTAATCTCTTATTTAGTTAAAAAGAAGAGAAAATTATTAAACTTGCCCTTAGAGTTTACGGGTCTATTTTTATTAAGGGGAAAAAATCTAAACCTATACTCTCAGGGTTTTGTCTCTTTTTTCAGAAAGAAAAGGAAGAAAAAGATGGAGGAATAAACTCTCCTTTTGGGCCCACAAAATTAAATACTAAACTATTCATTAAATCCATCAATTTATGTTTGAAAAGATTATTTTATCTGTAAAAAAGGATTAACAAACAAGAAAAAAGACAATATAATAAGTAAAATAATAATTCAATTCTCTTTTTAGCTTTTCTTTCATTTTATCAAAAAATATAAAAAATTATTATAATCCTCTT